CGTGTTTTAGGGTCACAATAACCTTGATCGTTTTTACAAGGTAATCCAATTCCTTGATAGATCATTGTGTTTGTCAGATAAATCTCGTGTGAGTTGTATTTTTTCGAGTTGTTTTTTCCAATCGAAAAACATTATTTCTTGATGTCCTCTAGTTTTTGTGTCTGCTTTGCAGTTTGAAGGATTATTTATACCAATGTGTGGTATCCAGTGCTTATCGTGTATTTCATAGTTAATCTTCCGTGTGCGCCGTTGTATGGGTATTTTTCATCTAGTTTTATATTTCCTTGATATCTTTCAAGTTCTGCTTGATGTACAGAATCGGCAAAGACTGAAAATATACTAATTTTCTGTCGGTGTTTTTTATTTCTTGTGATATTTAGTCTGAGTATCTCGTTTTTTACAATCATCGGGATTGAGATGCAAAAGTCGTTCTATATTACTTTGGTAGAATGATTCGTGGTCAAGTCGGTTTTTATTTCCGTTTGAGACTTGTGAACAATGTACTTTCTTTTCGGAAAATGTTGCTGTAAATTTATATCCTATAACTGTTGTTGCTCGGGCTTTTGAATAGAGTGTCGCTATTACATTTGTAGTTTCTATAGCTTGTGGTTCTGTTCGCATGGTGATACTTGATTTATTGCATATTTGTGTAGTGTTTTTTGTTCTTTTCTTCACAATCGTAATGTGTTACTAATAAGTCTTGGGGTCCTGTGCGGGGAGAAGGATTTATGTCTGATCGGAGATTATGAGAAAAAGGAGTTGGAGAAAAATCAATATTTTTAGAATATACATGTGTATGATAATCCTGAGTACGGGTTATAAAATGTGATGTAACCAATTGTCTTTTTGGTATATCTCTATTTATATATTACTTCAGTTGTTATAAATGGTGGTGGTAGCGATTGAGCTGTTATATTTGGTGGGTTTAATGGGTAAGGATGTTGAGCAATGTTGTTTAGTTTAACCGTGATTTCAAATTTTAATTGTAGACAATTTTGTTGGAGTATTTGGATGTTATGGTCACGAATGTCTTCGTGATATCTGGTCTATATTGTAATCTATTAAGTGCCCAGTTGTGGAGTCGGTTACTTTTCTGGGTGTTGTCCAAATAATGGTGGGGGTGCTGTGAATGTGTTCCAGTCTAATCTTAAAGGGATATTTGTTGATGATTGTTTCTCGATATCTAGCGTCGAGGTTATTTGGGAAATTGAAAGGAAAAGGCGTCGATGAAATCTGGCTTATTGATGGTGTTGACGGTAGTGATAACGTTTCTGGTAGTGATGATGATGTTGTTGTATCTGTAGAAATATCTATTGGATCATTTATTAAATTTGGTTCACCTTGTGTGAATGATTGTGTTGTCCAATATGGTAGTCGTGATGTTTGGTTTTGGGGGGTTAAAGGGATTTTCACGTATTTGTTCAAGATGTTGGTGTTGAACCTAAGTAATCTGAGGGTAGACTTGAGGTGCTACGTCGTGAAAGAAGCGTAGGGTTTCCTGTAATATGCTAATTGGGTTTTCCGGAGTACTTGGTGATGGGGAACTCGGGGTGTTTGAAAATTTCTATTTCGTCGTGGATGTATAATTTGTCTATTTATTTCAACTGTATTTTGGTTTTGACTAATATTTTGTATTCTACTTAATTCTTGTGGTAGTGTTGGGTACAAGTTATATGTTGGTTCACTTAGAGGTGCCTGTCGCTGAACTGGTTCTAGTGGTTCAGATAAGCGAGCGTGTCGTTCTTCAAAAGTATATGGGTTATCTTGGAAAGAAATTCGTGTAGATGTTTGGGGGTTTTGGGTAGTTGTAGGTGGTGTCGGGTTTTCTTGGGATGTTGTCGGTGAAGACTGACTGTGTGGTTGTTGGTTAGCAATTTTTGAGGGTTTTTTAATTTATTTCTTTTTAGTGAAAAAATTTATGTTTATTGTAGTATTCTTCTAGAAAAAAAATTAAAAGGATTGTTGCTAAGGCAAATGTTATGACTGCCTTCTTTATACATTTGCATATTGTCAATATGAGGGATGATAAAAATGTTATAAAAATTACAAAGAGTAAAAAAATATCTGTTCTACTAAAAATGGTTCGTATCATTTAAATAAATTTTGGGTTTTCGTACCTGTGAATATGGTCAATGGCTTTTGAAAGTTGAAGATATAGTTCAAATATGGAATAGAAAATTTAAAAAAATATTGCAAAAAATGATTAAGATTATTACAAAAGCTTCAAAGGTATCAGAAAGAAATATGAATAAAAAGTTTAAATATTGTTAAAAAGTTTATGAAAATGTTGAGAATTATGTTGACTGATCGAAAGAAGAGCATTTAAGAAATGGCTTCTTGATTTTTTTTTGTTGTTTGGGGCAATTTTCAAGTGTGGTCGAATTATTTATTGGTTTTTTGACAAGTGCATTTGACAAAAACAGTTTTCTTCATAGAGTAAACAAAAAAATAAAAAATTCAACAAATTTTTAAAGATTTTTTTAAATTTCTTTGAAAAATACAGACCACAAGATATTTCACCCATAAATATTTTTAGCTTTGTTACACTAAAAATTGAAATTCTCGATTTTCTAGGATGGCCCTATTACATCTTAGAAAAATTAACTATTTTATACGCAAGGTTTAACTTTATAGGGTTTCTTTTTCACTTTTAAAAGGAATCTATAACACATGTGCTATACACACACAAGTAAATAGACAAGCAAGTGTAGCACGCATACTATTTGCAGGATTTTTTGGAATTTTTTCATCATCAATAAACAAAATTCTTCTAGACGCACAAATAAAAGAATATAACACAAAAATAGCGACAAGACAGAACACGTACGACAAAGAACATAATAAAATAGAAGTAACGCCTACAGCACCACAGTTGCCACCCCTACCACATAACCATCCATTATCCTTAGTCCCACGAAATTTCCAAAATTTAGCAATAACACATAATCCAAATTTTAGACCAAACATATCGCAAAGTCCCATACAACATATAATGACACATCATTCACAAGATGAAAATACATATGAACAAGTTATCGA